CTCCCCTTCTTCTCCCCTTCCTCCTCCTCCTCCTCCTCCTCCTCCTATCTACCCGAGTCTTCTGAATGTTATCTGGACTTTAGTGACTCTCTACCTATCTCTTGTCTCTCTGAAATCCTCTCCGAGGCGGCCTATTCTGGGCCGCAGCTGATTAATCCCCAAACTGCTTTCTGATCCTTCTGCGGTCCTTCGTCCAGATGTGCTTGGCCTCCAAGGGAATAAATGTCATGTCTTTTTTGCAAAGCCCAGCAGCTGAACTCGGCCTTGGACGGGAGGGGCAGCGCTGCTAAAATCTGCAAGCTCCGTGTTGATTTGCCGGAAGCGCCGCCCTCCAATCCTCCCCTCTCGTTTCAGCTCCATGGGAAGACACTGCCAAGACCTCCTGCTACAAATGTACCTTCAGCTGCCGGAGCTCTTGGTACCGAGGCCCGAGACTCTCTTGTCCTGCGAAGGGGCCACCGACAGCAGCCCCTGCAAGGTAACGTTGCTCCGGTTGGGCACAGAAGTTTGCAGCGGAGTCCTGCAGGGGTTTTTGTGTTGCTCTCCCCAAGTTTAGAAGCCAATGTCTCCTTCCCAGGAGGGCTGTGAAAGTCAAAAAGGGGGCTGTGAGAATATCTACAGACCCTGGGGAATTCTGGGAGGTGAAGCTCACCACCCTTAACTCTGACAATAAAGGTAATAATAGTAAAAGTCGCCAAGGTTGGACAGCCCTGGGTTAATCAATCAATCAACCTTTATTGACAGAGTACAACGTGTACAATGAGATTGGCTGAGCCTCCCTTCGTGCACACACACACACACCCAACACAACTCACAGCGAAGACAGAAAGTCCCTAACCCAGTGAATCTCCCTAACAAAAACACAATCTTATTGCATCGTGTGAATTTATTGCACAACGCCCTGGGCAAGTCTGTCTTACTATGTTGACAGGAAGTTATTTTCCATCCAGGAGTCTTGACCGCCACGGGTAGAAACTCTCCTTCAGCCTGTTGGTGTGGCTGGCTTCTCTATCTCCCACCCGATGGTAGGAGAGTGAAGAAGGGCTGACCAGGGTGTGAGTGGTCCCTGAGGATTTTCCTCCCTCTTCTAAGGCAGTGAGCCCCAGCGAGGTCATCTAGCGGTGTCAGGGAACAGCGCACAGTGTTTTGTGCTGTGCTCACCGCCCTCTGTAGAGTCTTTCCGTCTGCGGCTCTCAAGCCAGTATACCACACCGCCGTGGGAGGACGCTTTCTATTGTGGGCCAGTAAAAGGAGCCCATCAGTCGTTGTTCCACTTTGTTCTTACCTGTTACCTGTTTAATGCGCCCGTGTCTTTGCAGCTGGACAGCCTGATCCACCGGTTCATCACCCTCCTGGCCGATGCCGGCGATGTGAAGATGAGCGAAGGCCGGCTCTGGGACGCCAATATGGCATGTCGGAAGCTGGCCGTGGCTCACCCCATCCTCCTGCTCAGGTGCGTGGCCCCTTGGCACGTGGGGGGGTTGTTTTTTTTTCAAGAGGTTTTTGGCCACACAAAGACCGGGAGGCGTTACCTCTGTCGCAACCCCCCACTCAGCCTTGTTAGCATCTTCAGGTTGCAGGTGTGTTTGTGGGCGTGGGTGTGATTGTGTGACTTTGTCCTTTCTGCTCCAAGCCGGAGCCCTCCCTTTTCCCCTTTCTTTGGATCTTGGAATGTGTGAAAGAGCAGGAAAGCTCAAAAAAAGGAGCTCCTCCCCCCCCACACATGTTTTTATTATGACTGGTCGCACAGCCAGTCAGATGTTTAAACTGGATTTTGCATCGTTTTATCCACGTATCGAGTCCTTGCCAAGGGCCTGGGATAGGCCGATGTGGGCGTTCGATGGAATTAAGAGTCTCGTCGCAGGATGTAAGCTGTTCAAGCTGCCTTTTGCGATTGACCGATGGGGGTTTTTGTCAATGCCGAGGGTGTCAGTCGTCTATCGTTACGGTTTGTCACACAGCCAGCCAGACGTTTAGACTGGATTTGGCACTTTGGTCCACCTACAAAGGCCCTCCCAGGAACTGGGATGCCAGGCAGGTCTGGATGTTTGATGGGATCCAGGGTCTCATCGCAGGATGTAAGCTGTTCCGAGCCAAGCTGCCTTTTGCAATTGACCGAGGACGGTTTTGTCAATGTCAACAAAATACCGATGGGGGTTTCGTTCAAGTGGCACTCCAGATATTTTTAAGATTGCAGTGGGTTTTTTAAAAAAGTTATTATCAAACTTATTCAGCCACCCGACTCCACGGCACAGTGTGCCCTACCACCCCCCTGCCAGAAAGCCCTCCTAAGGTGGCTCCTCTTCCTCCCGTGTCCCTCCCCAGGCACCTGCCGATGATTGCCGCTCTGCTGCATGGCCGGATCCACCTCAATTTCCAGGAATTCCGCCAGCAGAAGCACCTCGCCTTCTTCCTCCACGTGTTGGGCATCCTGGAGCTCCTGCAGCCTCAAGTTTTCCAGAACGAGCACCAGGGGGCGATGTGGGACTGTCTCCTTTCCTTCATTCAGTTGCTTCTGGTAGGGGAGGGGCTGCGGCTTTGGGAGGGGGGGGGGCTACATCCTGCAGACAGACAGACAGACAGACAGACACCAACACCTGCGCCAGGATAGCAGAGCGCACCTTCCCAGGAGCCCACTTCAGAGAAGGACAATCACCCGGAAGGTGGCGGCATCGTCTCCAGCAGGGTTGGGTGATAGCTCCGAGCAGGTCCGGGGGCAGACTGTCTGCCTGCCGTTCTAGGACGACATTTGGAAGAGAATCTCTGGGGCTCAAGGTCGAATTGTGGGGGTCTTGGTGCTCTCTGAGCTTGGCGGTTTTCATGGTCCAACTAGGGAATGTTATCAGTGCTAGAGAGGAGTGGGCTTGCGGA